TTGTCAATTAGAATTGAAGTTATTGATTATATTGACATAGATATTAGTGGATAGAAAGAGCAGTGGTGGAATTGTGGATCTTCCATGCTTACTGCTTCTTTATTCTAAGTAAAATCAGAAACAAGGGCTTCAGCTGAACTTGAGGATCAGGGAGGCATCGTTGAAAAGTTGAGAAGATTTAAAATTTTCTTCTAGAATTATGGGAGGGCAAATGGATGAAAGAAGAGGTTGGCAAACTTTTTCTATGAAGGACCAGATAGTAAATATTTTAGCTCTGAGCTATTTGGACCCTGTCACAATTTCTCAACTCTGCCTTACAGTGAAAGCATCTATAGACAATATATAAGCACAAATGGGTGCGGCTGTGTCCCCATGCACCATTATTTGTAAAATCAGACATTGGGCTGTATGTGGCTGATGGGGCCACAGTGTGCTTACTGAAAAAAAAAGCACTAAGGGACCATCTGAGATTAGTGGTCAAGAAAAGTAATGCAATTTAATACATGGCGTGTTTTTCTTCAACCAATTTTTCTGTGCTGAGTACATGGAAAATCTGGCTTAACTAAGGCTGAGATTTTGCAAGGTAAGAGTAATCAATAGAGGGAGGTGAAAAGGAATTGAGTGTGTATACAGAGAAACTATTACAATAATTAGTAGTGGAATCTAACTAGGCTTGTTAAAGAAGAGGAAAGGATAGGAACAGGGTGAAAAAGAGTAAAAAGTTGGGAGGCTCAAAGGACCGCAGTTGCAGAAATGTTGGAGTAGGCATATTAGAGGGAGCAAATTTAAAAAGATGGGAAACGTCCTTACCACAAAAAAGAAATGGTAATTATATAACACGATGGGGGTGTTAGCTAATGCTATGTGGCGATCACTTCGCTATATATAAGTTGATCAAATCAACACATTGTCCACTTTAAACTTACACAATACTATATGTCAATTACATCTCAATTAAACTGGAAAAAATTAAAAGATGGGTGTTATTTGGTGAATGGGATGGTTACATCGATATTATTGAGGGAATGCAGTTATTCTTAATAAAAAGGCCAAGAAACAGTGAGAGAGGATCTCTGAGGGAAGGACAGGATCTCTAGAGTAAAGGATGTCAAGGAGTTGAAAAGCCAGGGAGTTAAAAGAATTATTCACAGGCATATTTAATTCACAAAGAATTGAGAGGGGTAATTCTAGAGAATGACTGTAAGCCAGGTGATAAAATCTCCAAGAAATAATATTGTAGAATGACTAAGAAAGGATGGTTGATGGGTGGTGTGGTCTGATGGATGAAGCTTCAGTCTGTGGATGTTTTTAGGTGAAAGGGAGGGAGATGTCTGAGAGCAACAAGGAGGGGCAAGGAGGACCCTTGCACGCTTGCAGATAGAGACAGGGACACAGAAGGAAAAACAATCCACCGACTGAGAGAACTCTGGGGAAGCAGCATCCTTACAGGAGAATCAGGTCACAGAGAAAGAAGGTGAAGTTAATGATCATAAGAGAGGTTGAGAAGTAGGACGTTTTGTTTGAATCTGACCCTCACTTAAAGGTTTTGGGGGTAGAAACTGGCAGGAGAAGGACCCAGAAAAGGGGATGCATAGAGAGAAATTTGAAATGAAACTGTGGGATTATGTGACTACTAGTGACTGACCAAAACAAGAATAAAAGGTATGATGAAATTAGTCCTGATGCGCAAGACAGTTAGTGGTGAGGTAGTGCTTGCTAGAGAGGAAGTGGGGGATGGTGGTATTGCCCAGACATCCCCAGACAAGGGAAGGGCTATGTACCTCAGTCTTGTCCAACATTTGGTTCCTAGTTCTGGTTTGCAGCTTCATTTTTGCCTTCTGATCAAGACCTTTGAGAAATTTTACAATATGAAGAATTACGTACTTCAGTCCTCAGGAGAGATCTAATACATAAAAGTCGTCCCCTCCTCCCAGACTAGGGCTGGTCTCCTCCCTTTTGCTCTTTTTGGTTAACTCTTGGCCATGACTTCACTGTCCCCATGGAATTGTTGGCTTTTCTTGTTTTTGATAGGCAGGTCATCTTCAAGTTGAAAGCTTCTGCAACTTTGCGATGACAATACAGTTCTGAAAGCCATTTTTTTCAAGAATCAGGATTGTGCTCAGCTGCTTTTTTGTCCTGTGCCTTTATCTTCAAAGGCTTTGTAGAGTTTGTCCTGTTTCACTTTCAAAACATAAAAAAAGCATCAGTCTGTGCCCTTTGGGTTGTTCAAAGGTGAGAATACTTTTTTATAATAAACAGTGTTCTTGAATGGTAATGCTTATTGGGGCAAAATATTTCTCAAGGTAGGGAAATGAGCTCACAATATAAAAATAACCTCTTGTGTGTATAGAGCTAGGGTGACTGTGTCATTTGTCATCCAACCCAGGACACTGTTGAGGATGAAAGGGGGTGCTGTGAATAATTCACCTGGATAGCAGGCACTGTATTGGTGTGCTGCTAAGCTGCTTTAACAGACATCCCAAAATACAGAAGCTTAAATAACACGGAAGTTTATTTTTCTCATATAATGATCCAGAGGTAAGAGTTTGAAGGATGGAGAGTGGCCCTGTATTCTTTTATGTCAATAAGTCTAAGGGCTGATCCATCTGTAACAGTTTTATGGAGCACAGGAGGAGGAAGGAGAGAGTGGATGGGAGGCAAACAGAAACTTTTTAAGAACTCAACTCAAAAATTGCACACATCACTTCACTCATGTGGAGTGGCATGTGCCATTGGACAGAAGGGAGCCATATGGCCACACCTGGCTGCCTGTAAGGCTGGTCTACAGTTGGTGGACACTTATCTTAAGAGCTGATATTGTTTGAGAAATGGTTTCGACTATCTCTAACTGATCCATTTACACATTGGTGAGATAACTTTTGTCCTAGAATACCAGTGCTGGAAGAAAGAACAGTGAACATTTTAATCAAAGTGGGCAAACTTTTTCAGTAAAACACCAGAGAATAAAATATTTTAGTTCTGACAGGTGATATGGTCTCTGTCACAACTACTTCACTCTGCTATTGTACTGTGAAAGCAGCCATAAACAATATATAAACAAATGGACATTGCTGTGTTCCAATAAAACTTTATTTACATAAACAGACAGCAGCTGCCTTTGGCTTGTGAATCACAGTTTACCAACTCCTCATAAAAGTCAAGCCTCCTCTATTTTTCAGATGAGGAAGCAACCCATAGTTTGAGTCTCGCTCTCAAAAGGAAAACTTTTATTTTATTCATGCAGACACTAACTTTCCATTTTACATTCTGTCCGGACCTCTATATGCCATAGTAAGGCTCTTATTTGGTGTTGTCTATTGAGTACCTGTAGTAGAATGTAGCAATCAGTCACCTGACCAGCAAGCACATTGGCAGCTAAAGCCAAAATGCTAAGGACAACTGTGTACCTACTTGATAGATATATGCCTGCATTTACATAGAAATGATGCTTTATATGCATTGAAATTTAAAATTAGTAGTATCTTTACACTTATTTTTGCTCACTAGAACACCATAAGAACATTCCGAGCTTGGTAGGATCCATGAAATTATTCTCATTTCACTTGTGAAAGCGTTGGCATTTGAAGAAATTATCTTAAATCAGCCTACCTAGGGCTACACAAGAGTATCATATCCCATAAAACCTGTTTCCTCCAAACTTCAAATTAAAGTTCACCATAATTGATGGATTTATTTGTTTGGGTTTTTTTTTCTTGGATAATAGAAACAGAATTACACTCTTAAGATTCTAAGGATGGAAGGAAATTTAGAGACCACTTGGTAAATCTTTGTCATTTTATATTTGGAGAAATGAAGGCACACACATGCTGAAACCTGACCAAAGTTTTTGAGCTAATTAATACTAGAAGCAGGGCAGAAATCTGTCACAGGAGTCCCTAATTCTTTTGCCTACTTAATAATTCTTTCTGTAGTGAAAACATTGAATGACAATATCATAGTGGCTGACTCTAGCTGTTGTTCTGTTTTGTACCCATGGCTTCTCAAATTGGCCTCACTGAAGAGACCAACAGACACTTGTAGCATTACAAAAGAAAGAAAATGCCTTATACAATGTTTTGCAGACCTAAGTAGCACACTTATTTCAACACTTCCAAAATCAAGTTATGGGCTTCCCTGGTGGCGCAGTGGTTGAGAGTCCGCCAGCCGATGCAGGGGACACGGGTTCGTGCCCTGGTCCGGGAAGATCCCACGTGCCGCGGAGTGGCTAGGCCCGTGAGCCACGGCCGCTGAGCCTGCGCATCCAGAGCCTGTGCTCCGCAACAGCAGAGGCCACAACAGTGAGAGGCCTGAGTACCGCAAAAAAAAAAAAAATCAAGTTAAAGTATACTGCCTGTTCTTAACTTGAGATTTCTACCATGAACGTTCCAGTGGGGGGAAAAATGGCTTAACGTATGTTTTAAAGTATAGGAATACCTTCTTTTATTGTACTTTGCTTTACTGTGTTTCACAGAAATTTCGTTTTTTACAAACTGAAGGTTTTGGCAACCCTGTGTCAAGCGAGTCTAAGAGCACCATTCTTTCAACAGCATTTGCTCATTTCATGTCTGTGTCACATTTTAATGATTCTCACAATGTTTAAAACTTTTTCATTATTCTATTTTTTGTGGTGATCTGTGATCTGTTTTCTTTCTTTTTCTTTTTTTTTTTTTTTTGCGGTACGCGGGCCTCTCACTGTTGTGGCCTCTCCCGTTGCGGAGCACAGGCTCCAGACGCGCAGGCCCAGCGGCCATGGCGCACAGGCCTAGCCGCTCCATGGCATGTGGGATCTTCCCAGACCGGGGCATGAACCTGTGTCCCCTGCATCGGCAGGCGGACTCTCAACCACTGCGCCACCAGGGAAGCCCATGATCAGTGATCTTTGATGTTACTGTTACAACTTGCTGAAGGCTCACATGATGGTTAATTTTTTTAGCAATAAACTATTTTTTAATTAAGGTATGTACATATTTTATTAGACAAAATACTATTGCACACTTAGTAGACTACAGTATAGTGTAAACATAAATTTTACATGCACTGGGAAACAAAATAATCTGTGTGACCCACTTTATTGCAATGTTCACTTTATTATGGTAGTCTGGAACCGAACCCACAATATCTCCGAGATATGTGGGTAGATGGTGCGTGTACACACACACACAAACCCACACATATATTAATAGCTTTTACAGGCTTCTGGAATAAGTAAGTGAGGTTGTGTTTCTTCATGCTTTTGAACAGGATATAAGTTTTCTGTCTGATTTTGTGACAGTTCTTTCTGACATGAGTTATAAAACACACACCATTTAAACCTTTGTATAGTACAAACCAATCAGTAACATCGGGCTTTGAGCCAGAAAGTTCATGCAGGGAACAGCAAGGGCCCCTTAAGAAAAAGTACTATTCAGAGACCCAAGAATAGCACTACCACTTGCCAAGATAATGCTGAGATTAATCTCAAGGAGCAGTGAAAATCTCTTAATGTTTGTGGCAGTGAGAAGTCTCTGCCCTCAAGTGGAGTCCATGTCTCTACAATCAAAGCCAAGATGCACATAGAGAGTGAAGTGAGAGTCTCTCCTCAAGGTTTGTGAAGATCATTTCTACCCAAGTGGAGTGTAAACAGAATGGCTTCCAGGAAAATCTACTGGAATTGGCTTTGACATAGGGTTCCTCTGCTTTTTGTGGGAAAGAGGCTCAGAAAAGTGAAAGACTTTCAGCCTTTCTGGAAGAGAGGAAAGCTTACATTGCCTTTTAAAGAACAGTTCAAGAAGGTAAGAGTAGGAGGAGTTAAAAAAATAGACCTGAAAAACAAAAATCACACTGTTAAATAAAAGTAGTAGAATGGAGGCAGTTTGAAACCTAGGTACAGGGGAAATGAGAAGCAGGTGAAAATTAGGTGCTTAAGGATGTTAAAGAAACTGAACAAAGCCTAAAGCATGCTGTGAATGGTGAAATTACACTTACTTATTAATTTGCATTTACTGGGAGCTGATCTGTATTTTCTAAATTTTCTGCATGCAAATGAATATTTCTTTTTTCTTTTTTATCTTTTTTCTGTAACATCTTTATTGGAGTATAATTGCTTTACAATGGTGTGTTAGTTTCTGCTGTATAACAAAGTGAATCAGCTATACATATACATATATCCCCATATCCCCTCCCTGTTGCGTCTCTCTCCCACCCTCCCTATCCCACCCCTCTAGGTGGTCACAAAGCACCCAGCTGATCGCCTTGTGCTATGCAGCTGCTTCCCACTAGCTATCTATTTTACATTTTGGTAGTATGTATAAGTCCATCCCATTCTCTCACTTCATCCCAGCTTACCCTTTCCCCTTCCCGTGTCCTCAACTCCATTCTCTACATCTGTGTCTTTATTCCTGTCCTGCCCCTAGGTTCATCAAAACCGTTTGTTTTTTTTTTAGATTCCATATATATGTGTTAGCATACGGTATTTTTTTTTCTCTTTCTGACTTGCTTCACTCTGTACGGCAGACTCTAGGTCCATCCACCTCACTACAAATAGTTCAGTTTTGTTTCTTTTTATGGCTGAGTAATATTCTATTGTATATATGTGCCACAACTTCTTTATCCATTCATCTGTTGATGGACACTTAGGTTGATTCCATGTCCTGGCTATTGTAAATAGTGCTACAGTGATCATTGTGGTACATGTCTCTGTTTGAACTTTGGTTTTCCCAGGGTATGTGCCCAGTAGTGGGATTGCTGTGTCATTAGGTAGTTCTATTTTTAGTTTTTTAAGAAACCGCCATACTATTCTCCACAAATGAATATTTCTGTAATATAAAATACAGTACTGTTCTCCATAGTGGCTGTGAAGTAACTGAGAAAGAGAAAAACAAATACCACATGCTAACACATATATAGGGAATCTAAAAAAAGAAAAACAAATGGTTTTGATGAACCTAGGGGCAGGACAGGAATAAAGACGCAGATGTAGAGAATAGAGTTGAGGACACAGGGAGGGTAGAGGGTAAGCTGGGACGAAGTGAGAGAGTGGCATGGACATATATACACTACCAAATGTAAAACAGATAGCGTGGGAAGCAGCTGCTTTGTGACCGCCTAGAAGGGTGGGAGGGAGATACGAGGGGGAGGGGATATGGGGATATATGTATATGTGTAGCTGATTCACTTTGTATACAGCAGAAACTAACACACCATCGTAAAGCAATTATACTCCAATAAAGATGTTAAAAAAAAAATAGATGTCATGTTCAAAAAAAACTTTGCCAAGACCTGTGTCAAGTAGGTATTTTCCTATGTTTTCTTCTAAGAGTTTCATAGTTTCAAGTCTTATATTTAAGTCTTTAATCCATTTTGAATTAAGTTTTGTGAGTGATGTAATAGGGGTCTAGTTTCATTCTTTTACATGTGAATATCCAATTTTCCCAGCACCATTTATTGAAGAGGCCGTCTTTTATCCATTGAGTATTTTTGGCTCCCTTGTCAAATATTAGTTGATTGTATATGCTTAGGTTTATTTCTGGGCTCTAATCTCTGTTACATTGATTTTTGTGTCTGTTTTTTACCCTACTCTTTTGATGAGTATATCTTTATCGTATAAAGATATCCTTTTTGAAATCAGGAAATATGTTGCCTCCCACTTTGCTCTTTCTCAGGATTGTTTTGGCTACTTGGGGTCTTTTGTGGTTCTGTATATATTTTAGCATTGTTTTTTCTATTTCTGTAAGAAATACCATTGAAATCAATTTAATTATAACATATCTCAGTATAGTCCTATTTGGGTTCAACCTATTTGTTGCCCTTTGGGCCTCTTGAGTCTGAATATCTATTTCTCTCCCCAGGTTTGGGGAGTTTTCAGCCATTATTGTTTTAAATATACCATCTGTCCCTTTCCTCCGTCCAGAATTACCATAAAGAGAATATTATTTCTTTGCACTGTGTCTCATAATTCCCATAGACTTTCTTCATTCATTTTCATTCTTTGTTTTTCTTTTTCCCCTCTGACTGGATAATTTCAAATGTCCTATCTTCCAGGTCACTTCTTTTTCTGCACACTCAAGGCTGCATTGAAGCTCTCTGTTGAATTCTTCCTTTCAGTTACTGATTTCTGTGAGGTTTTTTTTTTTATGGTTTCTATTTCTTTGTTGAGCTTCTTGTTTTGTTCATGCATGATTTTCCTTATTTTGTTTAGTTGTCTGTCTTTGTGTTCTTGCATTTCACTTAACTTCTTTAAGAGGATTATTCTGAATTCTTTTTCTAATAGTTCATAGATCTCTATTCCTTAAGGATCAGTTGTTAAAGCTTTATTCGTTTCTTTTGGTGGTCTCTTATTTTTCTGGTTTTTCATGATCCTTGATTCCTTTTGTTGGTGTTTGTGCATTTGAGTAAGTTGTCTCCTCTTCCAGACTGTGCAGGTTTGCTTTGGCAGAGACAGTACTTCACCAGTCAGCTCACTTTGGGCTTCCGGACATGTCTGCTAGTAAATACAGTAAGTCCCCTACATAGAAACGAGTTCCATTCTGAGAGTGTGTTCGTAAGTCCAATTTGTTCCTAAGTCCAACAGAGTTAGCCTAGGTACCCAGCTAACAAATCGGCTATATAGTACTGTACTGTAATAGGTTTATAATACTTTTCACGCACATAATGCATAAAAAATAAACAGGCACAAAAAATAAAACATTTTTAATCTTACAGTACAGTACCTTGAACAGTACGGAATACAGTACAACAGCTGGCATACAGGGGCTGGCATCGAGTGAACAGGCAAGAAGGGTTCTGACTGGAGGAGGGAGAGGAGGTGGGAGACGGTAGAACTGAAGGATCGTCAGCAACAGGAGACGGAGGGCGAGCTGCACTTTCACTCACGCCTGACGCTGATGGCACAGGTTCTGTTTCCTTGCCGGATTCAATTCTATCGACCCTCTTGAAAAAACGATCCAGTGATAACTGGGTAGTAGCTCTTTTTTTCTCATCATAAATGACACGGTAACACTGGATTGCATTCTGAACGGCTGCTGCAACCTTTGTGTACTGTTCTATGTTTGGGTCCCCTGCCTCAAAAACTAACAGTGCCTCTCAAATGAAGAGAATCCCCTTGCCGTTCCCTGTGTTGTGAATCTCTTCACTTCTGCGCTTACTTCTTCCTCTTGTCGCTTCACTCTCTCAATTATTTTCCCTTTTGTTTCCATCGTTATTGTTTGGCACTTCTTAGCAGAACCAGCTGCATCTCCACTACTTTTACGCTTGTTTCTGGACATCCTGGGCTTGAAATAAAAATATTATACTACTGTACTCTATACAGTACTGTACAGTAAAGTACACAAAAGCACAACCACTTGCAGAGGATGCATGCACGTGACAGTGTACCCCAGGCATGTGAACTAACTTATGTGATTGGACATGGGAACGCACATTCGCATCTTTGAAAGTTCGCCGCAACTTGAAGGTTCATATGTAGGGGACTTACTGTACTTAGGCAGATGGGGCCTGCTATTAGGGTTTATTTTGGGGTGAGGTAACTGTTTGAACTGGGGTTGGAATATGCCACTGGCTGAGATTAACTGGATAGAACTGCTGGCTTTGTTCCCTGCCCAAGGGAGGCTATAGGAGGGGCTTTGCAATTGCCTGGATTCTCTGGTCAGGAACTGGGTCCTCTACTCAGCAGTGGATGGGGCTCTAAATTACCTTTTCTGCCCTGGAAGGAGGTCAGGGCAGGACCCAGAGCCAGCACAGCTCACTGTTTGGGGATCCAAATCAGGCAAGAGTCTGCACTAAATTCCTGGTCAGGTGAGGCCACCAGTTTTGCTCTGCAGACAGAGAAAGCCACAGGCTGTGCTTTCTGTTAGTGTCACTGTAAGCAGGGCTATTGATGGCTATGCAGCTTCCCATGTACAGTTCCCTGGCTCAGTGGTCTGAAAGCTGTATTTGGCAATAAGTAGGGCTACTAATTAATTTCCTTGCCCTGGCACAGAGGGAGTAGTTCCAAGGCCACTAAAGTTCTTTGTGGTCTTGACTCGAGCCAGCTCATGCCCCACGTTTCCTGACTGAACAGGGCCACTGGCTCTGCTTTGGTGGTGATCAGCTCTGCTGTGCGCCTCTCGGCTCAGGAGTTGCTGGGTTATGCAGCTTCTAGGTGTTCTTGCCAG